TTAGCTCCGACTTCAACGACTCAAGCGGCTGCATGCATTTCGTAAAAGTAAATTCGTTGCCTGATCCGTGGGGAAACCAGGCCCACTCTTGAAACGAAGGATCTTCAGGAAGGGGCATCGGTACCCCGTCGGGAAAGTAGAAGCAGCCGAGACGTTTTGGGTTATTCGCTGGCGATTCGCCCGTCGCTTGCGACGGAAAAAGTGAACCAAACAAAGGCAATGCCAAAGCAGCTCCACTTCCTCGCAGGAATCGTCTTCGATCGAGTTGGTTCATACGGAAATACATGGGTATCTACTTTCGGTAGTTTGTTGGCGTTCCGCGGTGCCAGGCTTTTCGCTTGGCGATTATTCGGACTGAAACAAATCACTTTGGACGATGGAGTGAATCAGCGTTCGCAAGCCGTCTCCTTCTTGGCGAACATTGGCCGTTATCATTTCGATGTCGGCCCGATCTTCGAATCCGAGGGGGCGTCCCAACGCATAGGTAGTCAGTTTGTGAACCATGGCATGGACGAATTGGTCTTGTCGATTTTCAAGCAGGAAGCGTTTGAGGCCGTCAATGCCGTCGAGCGTTTCACCGTTGAATAGCTCGCTGGAAGCGTCGACATCTTTGCCGCGAATCTTTTCCCGCCACTTTCCCAGGGCATCGAAATTCTCGAAGGCAATGCCCCACGGATCGATTTTCACATGGCACGATTTACACGCGGCATGATTTCTATGATCTTCGATACGTTCCTTGAGAGTCATCTTGGCGATTTCTGGATCGGCTAAATCAATTTGTGGCACCGCCGGAGGCGGAGGTGGTGGCNNAACATTCAAGCAGCCAAATGGCTCGTTTCAAAGGATGAGAGTCTGGCCAGTCGGAATTCATGGCCATCACGCCCGGCTGGGTTAACAGCCCTCCACGCGGCAACGCAGGGTCAAACTGCACCCGACGAAAATGGTTTCCCGTGACCCCGCCGATACCGTAATGCTTGGCGAGTCGTTCGTTGACCATGGTGTAGTCCGAGTGCAGGAAATCTAAAACACTCGCATTTTGCTGCAATACCTCGCCAAACAATGCGACCGGTTCGTGCTGCATTGCCTCTTTCAGGAGGGGATCGAAACTGGGAACGTTTCTTGCAAAGTTGACAAACTCGAGAAGTTCCAGATTTAGCCACTGATGCACGAAGTTCTGCGAAAGCCGTTCGCTGCGAGGATCGTTAA